AAAAGAAGCCGAGAAACAGCATCCAGTGTTTTGTTGACCAGTTAGGGTGTCTGGATCCAGCTATACCTGAATCTCTTCCCATGCTGTGCAGTTAAGTGTGCCTATAGGTCCCCTTAGGGTTTAGATCCATGAATTGGGTTTCTGCTCCTGGTTAGCTAAGGACTCCTGATTACTTCAGAAGAGGAGGTCAGCCTCCAGACTCTGCTCAGCTACTGACCACAGCAGGTTTTGTGAAATAACACTCAGAGAGCTGGTTATTTCAAGGCCCCACCCATATACTGGGTGTGTCTGCTAAAACAATCTAAGAGCCCACATACTGCTGCAGCCAATTTAACGCACTCCTAGGAAATCTCAAACCTGCCGCTAGAGGTCAGGTAAAGATGTTCTGGAAAAAAATAAACAATTTACATACGCACGCCCATTAGGCAAAAATGCCATGCATTTTCAGTTTAGAGGAAATAACCTTGAACAAAGTATAGTTATGAGCCAGTAACTGACAATTAGGGGCTTCCCCCCTCCCCAGTGATACCTGAATTAAGGCAGAGAACATCAGAACACTCCAGTAATTGCTGAAGAACTAACCACATCTTCCTTGATGTTTCCATGACTCAACATCCAAAGAATGGGCCCCTATACGTCAGAGAGGGGGAAAAACTTTCAAGAATTTAATATTGAGCAATTGTGGGGCTCTTGCTGACTATGAGAATCAAAATTATCTCAGGTCACGTCTTTCACTTGGGTTCAGGGGTGCTTAAGCATCCTCTCCAGAAATCCTCACCTGCTGGTAAGTTTAAGTCCACATGCATTTTAAATATTTTATTACAATATAAAACATACATAAAAGGGCTGGGGATTTAGCTCAGTGGTTCTGTTGCCTGTCATGCAAGCACAAGGACCTGAGTTCAATCCCTGGTACCAAAAAAAAAAAAAAAAAAAAAAAAAAAGACAAAAATACATAGAGAAGAGTGTGCAGAATGTATATACACATTTACCTGGGCATTTAGCTCAGTGGTTCTGCCTCCTGCTTCACAAGTCCAAGGTCCCCAGTTCAATCCCCAGTACCAAAAACAACAACAACAAATAGTTAGTAAACAACAGTGCACTACAAGGGAGGTTAAGAAATATATGAAACACCATTTTAAAGTTCAGTGTGTGGGCCTCTGCACTCACAGTCTGCTCCCTAGAATTAACCACCACCCTGCCTGTAACGTTGAACATTCCCTTGCATTTAAAATAATTTAACACAATGTGCATATTCCCAAACACATAAGTAACAGTCAATGCCACTTTTTTTTAAGTGCTGGGGGTTGAAGCTAGGGCCTTGCCCGTGCTAAGCAGGGCTCTACCACTGAGCTCCATCAGTGGAAGCCCTCAAAAAAAGGAAAGCTAAAGGGAAGTTCATCTCTGGGCCTCAGACTTCCCTGAGCACTTATGAAAGGCACTCTGCAGAAGGACTAGGACTGGGCCATGTGCCGGAGTCCTGGGGAACAGAGCTTGCACACAGGGGCCTCAGGCAGGGCAGCTATTGGCTATTCTGGAAGCTGCTAAGGTTAAAGCTTGAGTAAGGGCAATGAGCTCTGCCTTTTGGGAGGTCGTCCCCCCGGGGGACAATAGCACAGGAACCTTTTTATTCCAGTCTTCTCTGTATTCTCTAAGTGGTCCTTTGTTCCTTTTTAATCTATCACGTTAGACACTTTTCAGCTATCTAGCTCCTCTTGGCCATCTCCTTGTTGTCACCAGTAGAGAAGAGAAGCTGACTGTAGCTCTGAGGAAGTGGTGAACCTTGCTGCCCTTGAACGCCACTGAAGGACAGTGTGGGTAGGATCTATTGGGGTGAAACCCTGAAGTCAATGTAGTCAGGTCTTTCCTCTTGGGCTGATCAACTGCCCAAAGATGTGTCTTCCAACCCAGTGGCCTGGAGAAAAGAGCCTGACACCAGTGTCCCAGGAGCCAACCAAAGGAAGAAGGCAGTGGGTCCATTCGCCCTGAATTTAGCATGCATATGGCCCTCGCTCCCCATTTTGGGGGCAGTGTTCACCGGTGACACGCTCATGTCCACAAATGTGTCTGAAGTAGCCATGCAGAGGTCCCTGCTTTATCCTTTCTGGGACTAACGCTCCAGATCTCTGTCAGGATGGGCTCTGTCATGAGTGACAGAGCCACTGTAACTTTACTGTTTTACTTTAGGATGGCTTAGATCTTAACAGTCTTTCAACTTCAGACTCTACAACTGCTTTTCAATTGTTCTAGTTAATGTGTTCACTCTAACGGGTGACAGATCTCCTTCTGAAGACCCACCCTTAACATCACCCGTGCATGACACACATGAACTCCTCCATCTATAGAGAACCTTTGGCTGTAAATAAGGAAAGGAGGAAATCTTGAAATAAGTGTTGGCTGGAAAAATCTCTCCACTTCTCAAGTCCATCTCATTTATAGTTGCTTCCTATTCATTCTGCTGTCCAGAGTCCCCTGTGAATTAAAAGAAGAAAGGTCCTATACTGTATACCTAAAATGTACCAATAAACGCAATAAGGAAAAAAAAAGAAGAAGAAAGGTCCCTATGATGCCTTTCTAGGGTTCTTTTGCAGGAGAGAGTGGTATTGCTTGCTTGTTTTTGGTCTTGTTTTGTTGGCTGTATATCCCTTGCCCACGGAGAGGATGGAAAAGGTAATAGTATAGACTGCTCAAAGATCAGATTACAGACAACAAATGAGTCTGGGGTCAGGTGAATGAAAACGAGCTAAACAGGAGCACCGAGGCAAGACTTTATTAGGGGAAGGAGCTGCCCGGCTGCCTCAAACAATGGCGAGAGAGAGGGAACCTTGTTGGGGTGAGGTTCATAAGGGTTTGGGAGAATATCATGTGTGCAAGCAGGTGATAGGTTGGTGCTAGCGATGAGGGTGGAACTGATTGGCAGGTTTGAAATTAGAGGCGGGAAGGACAGTCAGGCAGGAAAACTTTCTAGTGGGAAGCAGGCCGGGTGGGACAAGTTTCATTTTCCTATTGGGAGTTAATTTTGATTCCCTGACATGACTCACTTCTTGTGTGAGGGGCCATTTTGAATAAATAGGGCCATTTTCTTGGTGGGGGAACTCTACCATTCCAGACTCTTGCTACAGAATAGGGGCGGAGGTCACTTCTTCTGTAGCTGTTTCCTGCTGACAAGACACGTTGGTAAGGTGTTATGGTAAGGGTATTATATGGCACAGATGTGGTCTCCATGAGTACGGTCGTCCCCATCGGTGAGAGGCCTGTAACCAGCCACAATAAGTTCACCGACCGTCTGTTTGGTAAAGGCCCATGTATGTTCCTGTAAGAAATTTTAAAAACAGTGAAACAGGCAAGGTCCAAAAAGCAAAATTACGCAGAGGATGGTGAGGGGTCCCAGGAAAAGAAGAAGCCAAGGAAGCCATTGGTCAAAGTATCCTGGTAGAGACTGTAGTCAGTCTAGGTCTCATTTACATTTTTCTATGTTCTCCCTGAGCTCCTTTACTTGGTCCCCAGCGATACCAGATTGGTTTACAAAGTAACAACATTCTTCCCCTAATAGGAGGCATGCCCCCCACTTTCTGCTGCTATTATATCCAGAACTTGTCTGTTTTAGAGTACGGCAGCTGCTGGTGAATTGATTTGGGACTGTAGAGTGGCCAGGGAGTCAGCTACCTTTTCCATATCTTTATTTAGCTCTTGAGATAGTAGCAATAGAAGTGTGTTGATTGAGATTCTTGCAACCCCAGTGCCAATTTCCATCAGAACGCCAGCTCCCATTAAGAAGGGGAGTACAGAGGGCCAAGGATTTATCTCAGTGCTGCCACTGCCTGCCTCACAAGCACAAGCACAAGGTCCTGAGTTCGATCCCCAGTACCAAAAAAAATGGGAGGGAGTGCAGGAAGGGCGCACTTGTTAAGGTGATGGATGGGTAGCTGTTTTGAGGGCAAGATGTGCTGTAATAACTGAGTTTCTATATAAGTCATGAGGGGGGCTAAGGAAGGACACCTAGGTAAAAAAGAGAAAATGGGATTAAGGCTGTGAAAGGCTTGGGAGTCACAGATGTAAAACATACCCTTTGGGAGACAGGTTATGCCCGATGTGGAAATATGGATATCTTTAGCACAAGGAATTATATTGTTTTATGATGGATGAATTTACACAGGTCTAATTATCATATGTGGAGGGTTTTAATTGGGTTGCAAAGGAACCTAGTATTGTGATGTTTTTGGGAGCAGGGAGAGTCTAATTTATGGGAACCACTATGGGGACATATGGCTGGAATCGGGGTGCTAGGCACATCCAGCATTCAGTTTGCTTCCCTGTCAGGCTAAGCAAAGTGGTGTTGAAGAGGTACAGGAGCCTTTTATGTATCTTGACAGTGGTCTTTAGGGAGGACAGATCAATGTTCTTCTATGGGGGAGGTGTTTTAAGAGCTTCTCTTATGAGTTGTTTTTCCACCTCTTTTAGCTGTTGTTTTCATGTCTGATCTTGTACACCCTCCCCATCTGACATTCCCCAGTGGATGGTCAGTGTCCAGTGAGCCCATGAGCGCATCCGTGTCTGGCAACGATAAGTATCTGAGTTGGTAATTGTCCCCATAGGGTAGGTCTGGCCTCTGTGAGTGCGGAGTGATTTGGCACACAAATCGTGAGTGCATGGGGGTGTACGACACAAAGGTGCCTGCCCTGTGATATAGGGGCTTCATGCCCCCGCAGCCTGTGATCTATTACCCAGTGTGTGCCGGAGCACTCACAGTTAGGCATATAGTGGGGCAGTGTCTCTCCACTTGAGATGAAGGTGAGAAGGGAAATTATCAGCCTATAGGGCCTGCCAGTAAAAGGGCGTTATCAGGGGGTGAAGAATGGGGAGCATGAGGGAATGGCGATCAGTCCAGTCAGGAGGAGGAAAAGAAGAGGAGTCTGTGTATAGACCAGTCTGGGGCCAGAAGGAGAAGAGACCAATTGCCCGAGCGAGGGACAAGGCTGTGTAAATGGCTAGAAAGGCTGGACGGCAGGCTAGCACAGGGGTGAGTCGTGGAAATGAAGTGGGGTAGCATCCACCAACATAAGAGAAGAAATGTTAGCAAGCAGACCTCATCTGATGAGAAATCTGAAAAGGTGCCTCGAAAGCAGTGGTCTTCGGTCCACAGGAGGACCTCTTCGATCAAGTTACCTGGGGGAAGGGGGGCAAACCAATGAGGGTCCTGTTGTAGCTCAACGATGAAGTCAGAAAATCAAAACGTCAACTGTAGGAGGAGCACGGGATTATTTATTTCTCAGGAATACGAGTGAGCTTGATCTTGGTGGGTCCTGTCAGGAGGGAAGAAAATTTAGGTTTAGCCAGAGGCAGGTCGGACTTTGAGGAAAAGATACGTGAAGTAACGCACTTTATTCTGGACAGATGGAACCAGGATGTTTTTCCAACTTTGACTGCTATTAGGGGTGGTGAGGGCCACTTCTAGAAGGTCCCTCCCATCTAGGGGTAAGATCCCTGTGGCAAGGGTTTTGAGGTAAACTTGATCCCCAGGAACAACCTGTAGATGGCAGTGGTCAGTGGGGTATGGACTAGGTAGAAAATGATCGGCATGGGCTCTTACAAAGTGATGAGGGGAGTTGAGTGTAGGGAGATAATCAGCCAGTGGAGGAAAGGGTTCAGGAAGGTTTTTAGGAGAAAGGGTCTCCTGTACATAACCTCAAATGGGCTCAAATTGAGAGGCTTGCATGGTGTAGCTCTTAGTCAAGTGAGGGCTAGAGAGAGGCGCTCATTACATGGGGTTTGGAGCGCCAAGGTGAGCTTGGACAGGTGTGTTTTGATTAGCCCACTTGCTTTTTCTACCTTCCCAGAAGATTGGGGTCTATATGGCATGTGTAGTTTCCAGCCTATGTTAAGGGTTTGGGCCTCGAGTTGAGTAATGCGAAACACAAAAGCGGGCTCGTTAACAGACTGTGTGGAGCGAGGCAGCCTGAAACGGGGAATGATTTCTGAAAGAAGTACATGTGCAACTGGAGTAGCACCCTCTGATATGGTGGGGGAAGCCTCAACCAACCCTGAAAAGGTATCTACCTGTGTAAGGAGATAGAGTGACTTTGAGGGGGTGGGTATAATCAATCTGCCAGTTTTCTCCTGGGAGGTGGCCATAAGCCTGTTGGGTGGGAAAGGCATTTGGGCAGAGTCCACCCTGTGGACAGGTGACAGAGCAGACAGGGCACATGAGAGTTATTTGTTGGACACAGCGGGTTAGGGAGGGGTGATATAAAGAGGGCCAAATAAGATGGAGGAGGGATATGTGTCCAATGTGTAGGATATTATGTATATTCATCAGGATGGCAATAGTTTGTGAATCAGGGTGAACATGCTGACCCCTGTAAAGAAGCCAGTATCCCGATTGAGATGCACCCTGTTGGAGACATTTTGGTTTTTCTTGTGGTTCATACTAAGGAGTTATGGGTGTGATAGCCAATAATTGGGTGGCTGGAAGTGTCTGCAGGGCAGCTCTTTTTGCCTCTGCATCAGCTCTGTTGTTGCCTAAAGCAACAGGGTCATTAGAGGATTGATGTCCTTTGCAGTGGATAACTCCTACCCACGTGGGGAGTTGGGCCACTTCTACAAGTTTCAAGATGAGTGGACCATTTGTGATGGGTGGACAGGAATCCCCTCTCTTGCCAAATAGCTGTGGGAATGAAGAATGTGGAAAGCATATTTAGAGTCTGTGTAGCTAGCTATTGGCTATTCTGGAAGCTGCTAAGGTTAAAGCTTGAGTAAGGGCAATGAGCTCTGCCTTTTGTGAGGTCATCCCCCGGGGGACAACAGCACAGACTGCCCATCTGGGTCCTGAGGTCGTAATAAAGAGCTGCCATCTATGAACCAGGTATCGTCAGGGTTTAGGATGGAAGTGGTTAGATGTGAGGAAGTGTGGAAAGGAGATGATCAAGAGCCTTTGTACAGGAATGAGTGAAGTCATAGTTAGGGTCAGGTAGTGAGGAAGCCAGATTTAGTGGCCAGCAGAATTGTAGAGAGAGGTATGGGTTTTCTACGAATGTGGTATGGAATAGTTGGAGATGGGAGGGAGAAAGACTGGAGAGAGCTCTGCGTGTTAGGAGATCTTGTGGGTGGAGGAGGGACCTGACAGTTGTTGGTTGACCAAAGGCAAGGTTGGCACTTTCTTGGAACAGGAGATCAGTGTCCACCGGTGCCTGTAGGCAAGGGGGGCAGCCCCTGAGTGTTGGATCAAGCTGTTTGGAAAGATAGGCGACCAGTGCAATGGAGATCACTTTGTTTTGTCCTAGGACTCCGAAGTCAATCCCTCCTTCCCTCAGATATGCAGATAATGAAAGGAAAGCCTAGATCAGGAAGGGCTAGGGCAGGAGTGCAAAGAAGGGTAGTCTTGAGGGCTATAAAAGAGGGATAAACATCAAATAGGTCTAGAGGATCTAAGGAGTTTTTCTTTGTCAACTTTGGGTTTAGCCAAGAGCCCAAAGTTAAGAATCCAAAGGCGGAGGTAGCAAGCAAGGCCAAGGAACAGGAGGAGCTCTTCTCATGAAACCAGAGTGGGAAGGGCTTCATTAAAGTTTTTTTCTATCAAGGGTAATCTCACAATGTTGTGGAGAGAGAGAGACCCGAGGCAGGTGGTTGAAGGTTGGGAGAGTTGGACCTTGTTGGGAGAGATTTGATCCCCATGTGTGGCCAGGAAATTTAGGAGAACAGTGTGGGCCTGTGAGTTTTGTAAGGTGGGGCTGCGGAGGACCATATCATCAACATACTGAAGCAGGGTAGAGGCAAGATAGTCAATTGAGAGAGAGCAGAAGCAAGGGCCTGACCAAAGTGAGCACTGTCCCGGACGCCCTGCAGAAGCACAGTCCAGGTGTATTGTTGAGAGTGATGGGTATCTGGGTCTGTCCAAGTGAAGAGGAAGAGGTCTTCAGAGTCAGGGTGTAGAGGAATGATGAATAAGGCATCCTTGAGATCAACAGTGAAATGGGTTATGTCAGAGGGGATATGGGAGAAAAGGGTATATGGGTTTGGGACAACTGGGTATACAGGAAGAACAGTGTCATTGATGGTGCACAAGTCTTGAACAAGGTGGTAGGAACCATCATGTTAGATTACGGGAAGGATGGGGGTGTTATAGGGTGAATGTGTGAGGACAGAGGAGGCCATTTTGGAGAAGGTCTTGGATGAGGGCTTGAGTCCCTGTAAATGTTTAAGCACTATGGGGTATTAGGAAAATTGGTGAAAACGGAGGGGTCTTTAAGATGGATTTGGATTGGGTCATGATGGACAGCAAGTGAGGGTTGAGTGAGATCCCAGACTTTGGGGTCAACCAAAGAAGAAGGCAGGAGGAGAGGAGAGTCTGGCTCAACTTGTAATAAGAATAAATTAGCCAGTATAGAGGAAGCCTGGTAAAGAGTGACAGCAGCCTTAAATTTACTTAAGATGTTTTGCCCAAGGAGAGGCATGGGGCATGTTGGGAGGACCAGGAAGGCATGGGTAAAGGCTGTGTTATGAAGACAGCAGGTAAAAGGGCCTGTCATAAATGGCCTAGTGGGAATCCCATTGATACCTACTATGAGGGTTTGCGATGGAAGGGTCCATCCTGAGAAGTGGGGTAAGGCCAAACAAGAGGCCCCCACATCCAGTAGGAACGAGATAGGCTTGCCAGAGATGTAGATCATTACCCTAGGCTCACAAGTGATCTGTGTGGGGGCTGGCATCCCTGGCACTGTCAATTTTCAGGGGCCATTCCTAGAAGCTCTGGCAAAGTAGGCCCTTGATATGGAGGTGGGGGAAGAGTTGTCCCCTTCCCTCTCTGGTAAAGGGGACAATCAATCTTCCAATGGCCCTCCTGTTTGCAGGCCAGGTAAAGGCCAGAGGGCGGCCTAGGATTGGGGCAATTTTTTGCCCAGTGTCAAGTCTGGTTGCATTTAAAGCAAGTACCAGGGAGCACCTAAGCAGGTGATTTGTTTGTAGGCCCTTCTGATTTGGGGCCCCATCTTGAGCCATACAGGGCATCTGCAAACATCTGGTATTTATCCTTATCTCAGAGGGCCTTTTCCTGTTTTTCTAGTTCTTCCTAATTATTGTAGACCATGAAGGCCAGGTTAAGGAGATCACATTGACAAGCCAGGGGGCCTTCTTCAATCTTTTTGAGTTTTTTCCCGATATCTGGGGCTGACTGATATATAAAATGGTGTTAATGATGATCACGCCAGCCTGAGAGGTTGGGTCAATTTTGGTGCATTTCTGAAGGGCCTTAGTGTGATTCAACAGAAATTGCGCTGGACTTTCTTCTGGAGTTTGGGTTATCTCCCTGATTTTATAAAAGTTAACTGGTTTGTGGGCTGTTTTTTTAAGACCCTTGAAGAGGCAGAGGATCATATGATCTCTGTGTCCTGAATCTGCCTGACCTGATAGTCTCAATGGGGGTCTTCCCTGGGAACAGCCTGTGCTCCAACTAGCTTGGTATTATCTGTGGCATGGAGCTCATCTGCTGTTGCCTGGGCCACCATCCAAACTCTCTCCTTACCCTTGGGAAGAAGGGTAGAGGTTAGTAACATATATATACATGATATATATATCATGCCAGGTCAGTTCATAGGATGGAGTCAAATAACAGAATTCATTCTTTGATGTAGGTGTCAGGGTTGGAGGAGAAAGAACCAAGATGCTTTTCAATCTGAGATCAATAAGGGGGAAAGGAACATGAACTCTGACAATACCCTTTAGTCCCTGCAACCTCCCAGAGAGGCATCTATGAAGTGGGAGGGGCTGGAAGAGTCGGGTATCGGGATGAGGTGGGGGCTGGATGGTGAGAGCACGCAGGCAGGTGGTTTTTCGTGTGGGAATGAGGTCATTGTGGGGAGGGAGAGTGCAGCCGACAGCACGAAGGAAGAGGAAGAGATGGGGTTGTACAGTGGAGATAGAGCAAGAAGGGAGCGATCTGCCCGGTTCAAGGCCGACATATTGGGCTCTGGCCAGGGATTGGGGGTCGTGGGTGACAAGGTGTGGGCTAGGAGAATCTGAGAAGTGGCTCAAGACTGACAGAGGGAGGTGTGGGAGCGGAGGTAAGAGAAAGTCTGCACATGGGGGACTTCAGAGCATTTGCCGTTTCATCAACAAAAGTTGTAGAGGTCCTGAGGAACACTCGGGTCAAAGGCTCCATTTTCTGGCCATCGGGATTCATTGTCTAGTTTGTATTGTGGCCAAGCCTGGCTACAGTAGAAAATAAGGTGTTCGGGCCTGATGTCACCGGTGAGTCCAAGAGTTTTAAGATTAAACAGCAAAGCCGGGTGTAGTGTAGTGGCTCACACCTGTAATCCCAGCACTCGGGAGGCTGAGGCAGGAGGATCGCTGTGAGCTCAAGACCAGCCTGGGCTACATAGTGAGTTCCAGGTCAGTCTCAACTACATAGTGAGACCCTGTCTCAAAAAAAAAAAAAATGATTAAACAGCAATCATCCCAGCAGTGTTGACTGAGGAGGTTTAGATGGTGCAGCTCTGATGGCAAGGGAGGACCAGGCTTAGACGGTGAGTATCAGAAAGCTCCCAAGGAGAAGGGCAAAAGGAATGAGCATCCTCATCCCCTTTGACATCTCTGGGGAGAGAAGGAGAGGAACTGGGCTGACAGGGCGTGCCCCTGGGGCCGTGGTCCTGGCCCCCCACTGAGAGGAGTCCGTCTGACCTAGGATTTTTGAGAGAGGGACAGAGAACCTGAGAGAGAGAAGCTAATCTGAGTACTCACTCAGAAATTGGGGGCCAGTGTGGATGTGAGATGTCACCAACAGCAAAGGTGAAAGCTCCTGGTCAAGTGCTTATCTGGCAGGATCGAGAAAGAACAGCCAGGAGGCCAATGAACCGCAACTGGTAGGGGATCATCCTGAAATCCCAACTGTAGGCTTCCCAGGTTTTGGCACCAGAATGAAAGAAAACAAGCCGGAAGAGGCGCACCTGAGGAGAGGCTTTCTTGGAGGAAGGAGCTACCTGTATGTCTCAAACAATGGCAAGAGAGCAGACCCTGCTGGGGTAAAGTTTACAAGGGCTTGGGAGGCCATGTGCGTAAGCGGGTGACGAGGGTGGAACTGACTGGCAAGTTTGAACTTAGAGGCGGGAAGGAGGCAGGGTAGGGAAGTTTCATTTTCCTGTTGGGAGTTGGTTTAGATTCCCCGACATAACTCATTTCATGGAGGGGCCATTTTCTTGGTGGGGGAACTCTGCCATTATGTATATTCCATCCCACAGGCACCTACCATCCGCAACACTGTCTTTGTCACATCTTTCATCACAGGGACACAATACTCACCATGCAAAGGTTTGCTTTGGCTCATGATTCAGAAGATGCAGTCCATGGTCAGCAGGCTAGCACAGAAGTGGCATGGTGGAAGGCCCCGAGCAGAGGAAAACTCATATGGTGGGCTGGAAACTGACAGAGAAAGGAGGGGTTGGGGAGGAAGATACACAATTCCAGGTCCTGTCTCCATGACCCACCTTGAAGCAAGCCCCACCTCCTGAGAGTACATCCAGCTGGAGCGTCCCTGTGATCCAGTCACCTTCCAGAAACCCCACCTCTGAACACAGGCCTTTGCAGGATGTTCATAGCCACATGGCCTCAAGCAGACAGTCAGTCTCCTGAAAACTTTAATGTTCACACACCAAACTGTAAAGAGGGGAAAGCTTATCGCGGACCTTGAATGAGAGTTGAAGCCTCTTCCTACAACTTGTGTACTTCCTCTGAGGCAGAACCTGGGGTGCCTGCCACAACACTGAAGTGATCAAATGCTCTGGCAATTGAGATGCGAGGGTGCACAGAGGGAAATTTTACCCTGCAATGAGTGCAGTTTCACAGCCACACTGGTCATCTAACTGTCATTCCTACTTATCTCTACACCTCCATAAACTCAGTGCTTGCCTAATGTCTGACTTCTTAATTTTCCTTTTTCTTTTTTTAATTTTGAGAGGGAGCCTTGCTATGTCATTCAGGCTGGCCTTGAACTCATTATGTAGCCCAGGCTGACCTCAGATCGGCAGCAATCCTCCTGCCTCAGCCTCTGGAATGCTGGGATTATGTGTATGCTCAACCATATCCAACTTGACATCTTCATTTTCAAATAGGAACAGTCTGAACAAGAACAAAAAAAGTCACAACTGTGCTTTCCTTTGATTTTTACTTACTCACACAATATAGTATTAGTATTGAGGAAAGATGCTGATTTTGTGGAGCTTCCAAGCTCTCAGGCTCCTTCAGCCTGACTCTCTGGATTGCATTAAAGATGTAATAGATGCTTAGAAACATCTAATGGACAGAGCGTGTCACAAAGCCTTGTATAAATTGTATTTGGGGAACTTGGAATATATTTCCCCATAGGAAAATCGTATTGTGCTTTTTAAAGGCATGACTAATGAAGAAATAAATGGATAATAAAGTTCTCAGTCCAGCACACAAAAGCCTGTTGTTCATCTTTAACCCATAATGTACTAAAGTGTAATGCTATTATTGCTATTTAAAAGACATTTGGTTCTCAGCACTAAATATTTTTATAGGAAGACACCTTTGTTTGTGTGTGTGTGTGTGTGTGGTGGTTGTGATGGTGTTGATAACCATGTTTGAATCCAGGGCCTTCTTCATCCTCAGGTTTCTTTTATTTTTTTGAGATGGTCTTGCTGAGTTGCCCAGGCTGGGCTTCAACTTGGGATCTTCCTGCCCTGGCCTCTCAGAGTGCTGAGATTACAGGTATGTGCCACCATACCTGGCTAGAAGACATATTTTTCCAAGTGGAGACACTGCCAATGCCTAAGCAGGGTAAGGAAATGCACAAGCCTCAAATATGTGGAGTTGTGTAGGAGGTACTTTTTTACCCATGAGCCCATTCTGTTTTCAGGACAGCCCTTTCTGGAAAGCATGAAAGACATTGACTAGCAACATGGTTAATGATGTTTAGAATTATCATTATGCTCAAATACATACAGGGAATAAAGGGCAGAGATAGAATTTAACCCAGGTTTGTTCCAACCTATGCCCTTTCTACTAAGCTTAGTTACCTTTCTAGATTTATAGTGCAAATATGCTGAATTGAGAACCATTTGTCCCCCTTGATCCCCAGGCTGTAGTAAGAGCTGAGGTGGATGAAGACAGGTCCTCTAGAGCAACGATCCCAATGATCCTGACCAAGCATCAGAACACCGGGCAGGTCTTTAACCGGAGGGCTGCCTCCACTGTTGATGTAGTTCATCCAGCAGGTCTGGGCGGTGCCGAAAATCTGCATCTCTGACAGATTCCCAGCTGATGCTGACACTGCTGCTTTAGGGACCTTGGCAGGGCTCCTCAGTGAGTCACTGAAAGAAACAGCCTCTCCTTACCTCTGGGACTTTCACAGCAGGTAACAAGGGCAGAAATTCACTTCATCTGTAATTACGATTAGGTCCTTAAGAGAGCTCACAGGTGAGTTCAGAGCCACAGGGAACCAACATGGAAAGGAAGTCAAGGTTCGCAGCCAGGCTGCCCTAGACGCACAGATTCCATTTTCTCCAAAGATACAAACAACATGGGAAATCAGCAGGGAATGCCTAGTCTTGCAGATAGAAGCAATAATTACCCAGGCAGGAGCATGATGACTCCAAAACACTTAGGCTTCCCCCATCTTTCCCCAGTGCCTACAAAGAGGCTAATCAACCAACATAGATTTATTGAATTTTTGCATTGTTCCCAAAAAGGAGTGGAGAAAAGCACGGAGCCTGGCTCTGGAACTCCGACAAATGGCAGTGAGGTCTCATCGCTGTGTCTCTTGAGGAAGAAAGCTTGCCCCAAAGGGGAATCTTCAAATACGTAAAACTACTCAAATTTTACTTATTTGAGCTAAATTTTTTTATTTTTAAAAAGTCCATGTGAAATCTATACTATCCTATGATTTTTTTTTAACAGCATCAAAGTTTTATTAAAGGTAGGAAAAGAAACAGGCAGAGCAAGTTTGGGCCAAGTAAAAGCAGGAAAAGGAGAACACCCTTCAGTGTGAGGGTGGGCCATGTGCAAGAGAGGACACAGGGGCCCATCCTATGATTTTTAAACAAGGAACATAAAGAATAATTTAGATTTGTCTAGGCTGAGAGTATAGCCAGTAAGAGAGTAGGTCTCTAGGATGCACAAGGCCCTGAATTTATTTCCCAACACCGCAAAAAAAAGAAAGAAAAGGGCCAGAGATTTAGCTCAGAGGTTCCGCTGCCTGCCTTGCAAACACAAGGACCCAAGCTCAATCTCCAGTACAAAAAAGAAAAGAAAAGAAAGAAAGAATCTTGCCCTCGTGATTCTAGATCATTGATGGCAAACCTTCCAAGACCGAGGGCCCAAACTACCACCTAAAACCCACCTCTTTATCCCAAAGTGACAAAACTGCAATTAAATCCAAAGGCTGAGGTTTTAGTTTTAAAAAACCAACTGTTACCCAGTGCTCTGCTGCTGGTATGACTTGGCTCATGTGCCGACAGAGGGCTCTGCGTGCCTGCTGCTGCACATATGCCACAGGTTCGCCATCAATATTGCAGGTGACCATTATGTACATCTACTCTGACAACATTAAGTAATGACACAGACGTGGAGGGGGTATGTTGCTGTTTGTCCCTACATTAATAGGCTTCAAGCCTAGACTTAATATATGAGTTTTTTCCATCCTTTATCAATTGTCACCTGATTTCTGCCTTTGTCAATCCAACTTTTTTTTTTCTTTTTTGCAGTCCTTGGGATTTACCCAAGGTGTTGCAGTGAATTACATCCCCATACTTTCTTCTATTTTTTTATTCTGATATCGACTCTAGCCAGGTCATTAAGTTGCCCAGGCTGGGTTCAAATTTATGGTCCTCCTGCCTCAGCCTCTCAGAGCACTGGAATTATAGGCCTGAGCCACCACACCCAACCTTGGCCCAACTTCTAACATCTCTACCTCTTATTTATGTTCTCTCTGCTACAGATTAGAAATTCCACAGTCTGGAAGCTCTGAGCCTAAGAAGAAACAACTCGGGGAAACACCATGCCTACAAATCAGGCTCAGCATTGGGGCTGCAGACTTTCAAGTATGCCAGGTGATTCTGGTGCCCTGGTCCTGGAACCATACTTTGAGAACGCCTTAGGTGGTCCCTCGGGAGTCCTGTTGACAAATACAATCTCCTCTTCCTCCTCCCAGTTGTTCCCTTGGCCACGTTACCAGCTTCCAAGCACACTTTCACTTTGAAGGGATATTTGGTGGAATTCTCCCAACTCTTTCTTTTCTCCTTCTAGACCCATTTTCATCTTCTGAAATTGTCTGAGTAACTAGCATAAGATCATATGCTCTAAAGGATCATATTTCCTGCCCCAAAATGCGGGTCACTGCTGGGCATCGTGGCACAGGCTATAATACCAGCTCTTAGGAGGCAGAGGCAGGAGGATTGCCATGCTCAAGGCCAACCTGAGTTATATAGTGAGACCCTGTCTCAAAAAAAATGTGGGTCACTTATCTAGTAAATGAGTAAATAAAGGTTGAGCAAACACATGGAAATAACTGAGCATCTGTCTTAGTTACTTTTCTCTCACTGCTGAGACAAAATACCTGACACCCAAAGTCAAAGGGAGAGAAATTTATTTAGCTTGATAGTTTGTAGAGGTTTCAGTCCATGATCATCTGACCACAAGGTCATGTGGCTAGGCAGAGGGGCATCGAAGAAAAGAGACACTTCATGGCAACCAGAAGATAGCAGAATCAAGTACAGGGGAAAACAAGCCTCTTTCTGTCCCTGGTATCCAGGCTATCAGGATTGTGCCAAATCATCAGTGAACTGAGTTAGCAATCACCCTTAACCAGAGCATCACACACTCTAGATTCAGCCACCTCTGAAAAAGCCCCACCTGTGACTATATGAGGCTTTCAGGGACATCTAGACACAAACCACAACATTCCACCCCTGGCCCGCTAAGATTCATGTGCATTCCTTTACGTAAAAAAACATTTAGTCCATCTCTAAGAGTTGCCAAAGTCCTAACAGTTTCAGCATTGCTGAAAACTCCAGGTCTCAAGTCTCCTCTGAGAAGGAGGCCAACTGTTAGCTGTGAGCCCCTGTACAAACGAAAAGAAAGTTAAACACTTCCAACATGCAATGGCACAAGATAAACATTCCTGTTCCAAAACGTACAAATAGGGTATACAAAGGAATGGGACCAAAGCAAGTCCAAAATCCAGCAGGGCAGACACTAAGTCTTGTAGTTCCATGTGGAGCACCCAAGGCAATCTGTGGCAGGATGTGGACTCCAAAGAGTTTGGGTGACTCTGCCACTGTGACATTTCTGATGGCACCACTTCCAGTGGTGGTAGCTCCCATGGCTTCTTTCTGGGTCCAGCTCTGCTCCTTCCTTGCAGTTTTCCTCAAAGGATCCACTCTTCTGACTTCTCCAAATTTCTGGGAGCTCAATGCACCTTTAGCTTCACACACTGCCCTGGCCTCCCAGGCCTCCTTCTGAAGTCTGGGTGGAAACCTTCCTGAGCCCACAATTAGTGCATTCTGCATGCACCTAATACCAGCACCATGTGGATGATGCCAAGTTCTGCTGCCAGCTGAAGCAGTAGCCAAACCTCCTTCTCCCTTGGCTGTAGGGGTCCAGTGCCTATGAATGAAATCCCAAAGAACAACTTCCCTAGGCTGCCGCCGTGGTGCTCTGGGGCTCTCTTCCCAAAGTCTTTCACCTTTCCAACCTTGGGCTACGGAGGCAGGAGTCCTGTTGGTTCTTGTGATGTCCTCAGGCCATCTTTTCTCTTGTCATCTTCTGAAATACTTGTCTTTTCCTTGCTAGTCATTTCAGCAACCAATTTCTTCTCTGTTCCATCTTTACAGGCCACAACTTTACTGAAGCTTCCTTTCTGGCCAAACTCTCAGTGTTTCAAGTTGTTCTGCTGTGCTCTTTGCTCTTGATTCTCAGCATTAAGTCTAGCTAAAAACCCACAGCAGTTGCCATGCCACCGCCTCACAATTAGACTGCCTTGAAATTTCTTCTACGAGACTAATTAGCCCATTGCCCTTAACCTCAGTCTCAGGCAATGTCTCTGCAAATAAACAAAATGCAGACAAACTTGCCAAGGCAAGCCCAGCATCCAGTGCCATCCCAGCAGAACCTCCTGAGCCTGGTCTTTACTAGCTCTCTGATCTTCTGAGCATTCACCAGACTCTCCCATAAAATACAGCCTAAGGTGTTTCAGCTCTATTTTTTCAGCCAGTATCTCCACACCTTTCCAAACTCTTCCCATAAGCCATTTCCAAAGCCTCCTGAACACATGGCCAGGTATAGTCACAGCAAGGACTCAACTTCCTGGTACCAAATGTCTGTGTTAGTTACTTTTCTCTTGTTGCTGAGATAAAATACCTCACAACCAAAGTTAAAAGGAGAGAGATTTATTTAGTTCACAGTCGGTAGAGGTTTCAGTCCATAATCGGCTGGCTACAAGGCAGGGTGGCTTGGCAGAGGGGCACCACAGAAGAGAAACAGTTCATGGCAGGCAGAAGATAGCAGAAGCAAGCAAGCAAGGGAACGACAAGCCTTTTTCTTTCCCTTATGTTGTATCCAGGGTACTGGGATTAGGGTGGTGCCAAACCAGTGCACTGATTTATTAATCACTTACCCTTAATCTCAGCATCACACACTTTAGATCCAGCTGCCTTTGAAAAAGCTCCACCTCTGACCACATGAGGCTTTTTTGGAGGGGGGCACCTAGACACAAACCATAATAGCATCCTTATCAGGCAGGAACTATTTAGGTGCTTTCATTTTTTGTCTCCTATAATCTTCATATTCTGAACTGTGGAGCAGAGAGCAAATGGACCCACTCCTACAAGGTCCTATCTCCTACTCGGTATCACGGGGATTCAAGTAAGGCCAACATGCTTTCCGTTAGATTACAGTTTCTGCACCATTGAGAGCAAAATGAATAACGGGGTGCAAGGAAAGAGGGCAATTCAGTTTTAAAAAGACCAACCCATTAACAAGCATAGGGAGGACTCCCAGCTCACACCTGCACCCAGGCAAGACTGAGCCCTTCCTGCTGCACACGGATAGGCTCAGAATCCTTTCCCACCCAGTCTTCCTACTGACCAGAACTAACCAGTTAGAAAAAGCACGGAGAACAAACCCATGCATTTTGGCTTCTCTTACTTGGAAACCCCATTTGGTAGTCTCCCACTTGGAACATTCCACCAAGAAAGGGGGAAATCAGAGGGAACTGAAAAGGCACAGATGTAATGTTGGCGAAAGCAGACATTCAGTAGAACTGACAAATTATACCTTATCCAAGTCCACGGGTTCTCAATTTGACATCTGGGGGTACTTGGGGGTGCCACTGGCATCTAGACAATAGAGTCCAGAGCTGCTGTTAGACATCCCATAATGCACAGGTCACTATGCCTTCCCCACAGCATATGCAGCCTTGCCTGACACGGTGGCACATATGCCTAGAATCCCAGCTACTCAAAAGGCTGAGGCAAGAGGATCACAAGTTCAAGGCCAGCCTGGGCAACTTAGCATGACCCTGACTCAAATAAAAAAAAAAAAATTTTTTTTTGAAGGGCCAGGGATGTAGCTCAGTGGCCAAGCACTTCCTACCATGTCTGAGGTCCTGGGTTCCATCCCCAGCGCTGGGAGTGGAGGGTGAGGGGAAGCAAGGAAGAAGAATGTGCAGCCCAGAGTGTCAACAGGCTACAGTGGAGAAATTTTGTCCCAGTTCGCAGGCACCAATAAAGCAGGGAGCAGATCGTAGATCCTGCCCACATATGCCACCTCTCTAGCACACTGGTAAAATAAAGTTGAGGGAACCTCAACCCAGGCACAGGGTCTAAGTTTGGTTTGAAGGTCGCACTGGTACAGCTGGCTGCAGTGTCCTATTGTCTCCTGCAGTCAGAGGCCCTGAGGAAGCATGGATTTTGTGCACAAATCCTGCACTGACAGAGCCTTTGGATTTACTCCCTGGGTTTCCTCTCCAACCAATGACAACAGTAAAGCACTTTTACAGGACAAGAGAAAGTGACCCAAGAAGACTAGAGTAGACTGAGTTCTGCAAGGAAGTCTCCTCCCTTCAAGGCCAGACTGGTTCTGCCAATTCTGGCCAATGTTCTCTCAATCTTTTTGTTCCTGGTATTAAAGGACCTCACTCTGCTATGCACAATGTCTGGAGCACCAATATCAGCACCACTTGGCATCCAACTTCTAACTATAAACCATTTTAAAGGATCCCCCAAATGATTTGTGGGCACATTAACGTTGGAGAAGCATTGCTCTAGGGCAAAATAAAACTGCAAAGCCAACAGCTGCAAAACAGATGTATAGCCAGTCACGTGGGCTAACACATGACATGGGGGGAGGGATTTATGACCCTCCGTGGACGGTAGCTTGCAATATAGAAAAAAGAATTGGAAGGAATATGTGAAAAAAAGAAAAGTAAATGCCATATGACAGCTTCTTAATTGCCCTAAAGGGATCCGCCTTGGGGTAGAGGAAATGTAGCTCCCAGCACTTGAAAACTACCCAATTACAGCTCCCCACTTTGTGTGGGTTTTTTTTTTCAATAAGGAACAAAGAATGTATTCTGATCCTCTATGAAATACAGAGAGATCTTGATCAGTATTTTCAACCCAGCATTTCGCAATAACCAGATTTTATAATTAGAAACAAAGTCAATATTATGTTTATAAATAACTCAGAAAACGGGTTTGAGGAGAATGGGTTGGGTTCAACTTCAGGTCCACTCTCCATTTATTCAACTTGACTTGGTTTCACTTACTCAACAAACACTGGATCTCCAACTGGCAAAGAATTTCAAGAAGCACAGCGAGAAAGCTTCCAGAGTTCAAGTGCCACGGGCCTTCCCTGGAAATTAAGACAGAAAGGTGAGTGGTCCTGAGGAGAGGGTGGGGTTCAGGATGCTCTAGGTTAAGCTGCCAGGCATGGTGATGCACGCCTGTCATCTCATCACTATGGGAGGCTGAGGCAGGGGGATTGCAAATTCGAACCCAGCCTGGGCAATTTAGGGATTTCACGAGACCCTGTTTCAAAATTTAGCAACAAAGAACTGAGGATTTGGCTTGGTGAGAAGGCCCTGGGTTCAATCACGGTGGGGGCAGGGAGGTTTGAAGGAAAAGAAGGGCTCACTGGGAGTCCAACCTGGTCCTGAATTCTGGACCCTAGCTGCATAGGGCTCAACTCCAGCCTGACTCACGACTCTCCCTGGAGAAGGTTTTCAGAGGACGTTGCCTCGCAGTCCGGTGGAGGCCTAGTTTAGGATGAACCAGTCCCCAGCGGTCTGAAGGCGCAGGAGCGCATTCTCAGAATGGCCGCTAGAGGCCGCCTTCGGGCCCGCGCCTGGAAAACGTAGCGGCTTTAGCCAGTTTGCCCCTGGCTTTGCTAAACCCGAACACCACTCTCCGTCTCCGATCCGCTCACGCTGCGGGGGTCTCCGCACAGCCCACGGGAGATCAGACCTTAGCCGTCCGGAAGTTTGGGGCGCCAGAAGGCCTCCGAACACCAGGGAGGGCTGCACGGCCCCACACGCCCCTCCTGGCCTCCCTCCCTGCAGGCAGCGGTCGGAGCTTCCTGGTAACACGTCTGTTCCCCGCGCTCGTCACTGGGATTCGCCAGCCCTCAGATCTCATTTGGAGAACACGAGTGGACTTAAATCCCACCCTAATGTCCCGTGCTCGGTCCCGCAGCTTCGTTCCCGGCGGGCCACTTGCTGTGCCCCAGAGGTAGGGCTCCAGTTGACCCTGCGAGAACCAGTTGGGAGAAATCAGCCGAGGGGAAAATGAAGCCAAGGCTTCTAGAAGCTGCCCCGCCTGTGCGGTCTGCAGGCCACTAAGCTTGTAAGACCACTGCACATTTTTAGTTGTGGGCCAAAGGACTCAGATTCGCGACAAAGCAAGCCAGAGAAAGTTGCTGGGGGAATGTTTCCGTCGTGAGCACCCGGGCTCTGTACTTAGATTCTTCAATGTTCAGTTGTTGGATGAGCTAACAGCCCTGGGGGACAGATACAAGTACCCCATTTCCCTGGCTAGTAACAAAGTGGCACAGCCTTGATGCTGTGTGGTTTGTAAATTTAAGAATACAGTTGCGTTTAAAAAAAATCTAAAAGTATAGAAAATACTGTTAACAATACAAAATCTGTCCCCACTCATCCCCAAATCTCCTTTTATCTTCTGTCTCCTTTGTCATATACAGAGATGACCACTGCCATTTCTTCTTGGTTGTACACATTAGGTATGTGCCTGTTAAGAGAGTGCATATTCTTTTTCCTCCATAGTGAGCACTGATTCATGCTTTGTTTTCTTCATTTCATACATCAGTACATCTGCTTCCTCCTTACAGCCGCACAGGATATACCCCAGTTTAGCTAAGCAGCCCTCTATGAGTGGACTTTGACGCATTTCCCACCTTTTACAGCACTAAAGAATGCTGTAAATCCCTGTGTACCTCCTTCTTTGTGTGTGAGCCAGAGCCAGGAGCCTGCACTTCACCAACCCTAGTTTATGTCCCTGCCCCCAGAGCTGACTTGGGGCTGATTAGATCCCAGCTCTGGCAGATAAATGCTCCTATCCCTGGCCACGTCCACCCTTCCTAGCTCCCTACTTTGTCTTCCCTAGTTATGAAGCCTGTTCCTATTTGAAACAGTGACAGAGACTGTGGACAGAGAGTCCGGGCCATTTTTATCTCTTTCTGTGGTTGCTTCATTTCATTTTTTAAATGCCAAATGTGACTCCAGCTGAATGGTCCTGGAGGCAAAATCTGCAGATGTCATTCTGCATAAATGGCACATTTCTGCCCCGATTGCCTCACATTGCCTCAGCCCTGTATCAGGAAAGTTCAAATCCTGCTTCAGGCTTGCATCCTAGGCTAGAACTGGAAAAAAGATCAGAGGCGGCTTGCCCATGAGGAAGCCAGCATCTACCTCCATTTCTAGCTGCTGACCTGAAAGGGACATTGAATAAATACAGGCCACATGGGGCAGCTCCAAGGGAGTCCGTCCACCTTCTAGAAAAAGAACAAAGCCATCACCCAAACTTTCATCCTTATCTGTGTTTGTCTGTCATCTCCTTTCATACTTAGATTCTCAGATCTACCATTTAAGATAACTTTTTACTCTCAACACAGGATTCAGGCTGGGCTTCGTGGTGCATGCCTATAATCCTGGCACTCAGGGAGGTTGAAGCAGGAAAATCCCAAGATTAAGCCTCACCTAGGCAACTTTTCAAGTTAGTAAGACCCCGTTTTAAAAGAAAAAATAAAAGAGGCCTGGGGATGTATCTCATTGCAAAGGTCCTGAATTTAATTCCCAGTACTAAAAAAGAAAAAGAAAAAAAAAAAAAACAGAATTCAGTCTGGGCATGGTGATACACACCCATAACCCCAATTACTTGGAAGGCTGAGGCAGGAGGATTGCAAATTTGAGGCAGAGCCTGGGCAATTTGGTAAGCCCCTGTCTCAAAATAAAATTGAATGCACTGAGAATGTATGTAGCTTAGCACTAGAGCCCTGGCCTAGTGAGTGAGGCCTTGAGTTCAGTCCCAGTACCTCCAGACAAAAACAAAGGAACAAAATAGGATTCCGCAGAATACTCAAACAACAGCAACAAAAAGTGAAAGTGGTTTAGTTTTAGTCATGTGACAGACTGTGCAGTTGACTGAAAGACTGGCCCCTTCTGTTTTGGAGGTACCACTTCATCATGCCTTCTTTCATGCTTACTACACACCCATCACCATGTAGATGAAGGATACACAGCCCAGGCCCTTCTTCAAAGCAAATTCAGGCCCATACCATAAACTTTCAGTGTGGCCAAAGACAAAGGTTCGAAGTGCTCTGAGCTACGACAGGTAGGGAGGTGTGCTCAGGTGTCCCTGTGCAGACAAGAAGGGGTGCTGAGCCAGGAGAAAGGAGAGGCAGGCAGCTCTGGAAGACACCCCCGGGAAGGTGAGCAAGGGCCCAGAAGGGAAGTCCCATGTCCTCAGCCTCTCTTCTGATGTGACTACAGCTGGACTGGCCGTCTTGAATGTGCCCCAGATCCTCCTCAGCGTCTGTCTTGGCAAAGTTACAGGCCGCCTTCCTCATCAACCTGGCTTTTCTGTCTCTTATCCCTGCCCCAAAACCGTGTTCTGCTCAACACAAGCAAGGTTTGTGCTTGCCATTTTGGAGACACCAGCAGCACTCTGCTCATACAGTTCCTGTGCCTTTCTTTCCTTCCAGCTGCTAAGTAGGGAAAAGACAAGGCAGTGACCTTCTGGAAACCCTCACTGCAGCCTTCACCCACAAGAATGCAGACACCCAGAAAGGGACCCAGTCACCCTGCAATGTAGGTCATGCGCCAAGGTCCCCATGAGAACAGTGACTGCCATTTTCACTGTAAAGATCAGTCCATCTGCTAGATAAGACTGAGAAATAAATGTATCCGCTGGGTGTGTGGTGCACACCTGTGACCCCGGCACATGGGAGACAAAGGCAGGAAGATCACAGGTTCCAGGCCAGACTGGGCCACAGAGCAAGCCGCTATCTCTAAAACTGAGCCAGAGATGGAGGCCCGTGCCTGTAATCACAGCATTCTGGAAGGCTGAGACGGGAGGATCACAATGTAGTGACTCAGTGAGACCCTGTATCAAAAATTTTAAAAATATAGAGGGCTGGAGATGAGGATCAGTGCAAAGGCCCTGGATTTAATCCCTAGGACCACAAAAAGGAAAAAAAAAGTTAATGTATTAGAGGTGCTCTTGAAAAGGTGGTTCTGTGGATGCTTTTTCAATATCAGTAGTGCTGGGCTGGGGATTTAGTTCAGTGGTTCTGCCGCCTGCCCCGCAAATACAAGGACTGGAGTTTGATTCCCCGGTACCAAAAAAAAGGACTCTGTCAATACACGTAAGTTCCACTCAGTATCAGTAGTGCTCATAACAATAGGTTCACACCTATTAAACTTACTGTGTTCCAGATACTGGCCTAAACACCTTAAAAGTTTTAATCTCTTAATCCCCAGGTTTTATCCTCGAAGCCTAGTCAAAATTTAAGTGGAAAAAAAAAAAAAAACTCAAGTGTCCTTGGGTTCAAATCCCAGCTCTGCCACCTGCTATTTGTATAATGTCTCTGGCCCTCGTTTTCCTTAACTGTAAAGTGATACCTCCCTCCCAGAAATGAGTGAAACAAGATTAAAGCACCTGACATAATAGGTTCTCAATGGATATGAGTTTCTGTCCCCTAAACTGCTGATTTTTTTATTAAAAATGATTCTATTCTCAATTAATCTAAAATGGGAGACTTAATTCCATGTTTCAATAAAAACAGAAAGCAACTAGATCATATTTTCTCCAAATAACCAAAGGGGAACATATGGACTGTGTTTCCTTTTCTATGCTATGATCAAAAAGTATGAGGAACATTAAATATCTTTTTTAAAAAACTTAGAGTTAGACACACTGCCTTTACTTCCTTTCTAAATAACTCTCCCTCGTGCTGAACACACTTATCCCAGTGTTCTTGCCGCTTCTGAAGCAGTTCTGCAGATCTTCTTTTGTGAGTGTCTTCAGTTATGCAGTGGTGGCTGCCTCAGTGCCCTGCATCAATCCAAAATGTTTACTTTTCAGTGTCATTTCGACTTTGGGGAAGAGCCAGAAATTGCACAGTGCCGGACCCAGTGAATAAAGTGAAGGAGGACACCAGGTAATGTTTTCACGCCTGCCTTTATGTCGGACACTCAGCAGCAACATTCACTGTGTTTATTATCAGATTTATCAAGACCCTCGCAAAAGAGGGCTCCCGGAACTGCTTTAGAAAGTGGCAAGAATGATAGGATAAGTGTGTGTGTGAAGCAAAGGGAGTATTTTGAGGGGGTAC